CAAAAAGCCTTACAATTATAATTCATAGTGTGTGAATATGTTTGGTCGCAGTTAGATGTGTAGTGGTGTCATGTTATTTAATTATTACAGTATTGTATAGTTATTGAGGAAGCTTATAATTGAAAAAAATTTAAGTTCAAAAATATTTTTAATTGTTTTTAATTCATAAAATTATCCCAAGTGTTTTATTTAAATTGAATTATTCAATTAGTAATTTTAAATTATTAGTTGTATATGCTTTTATTTAAGGATGCTGTAGTGTTTTTTTTTTTTTTTTAATTTCTTTTTTATATTTTTAATAAAATATGTAATGTGTGATAAAGTTTTAAAGGAAACAGATTTTAACTTAGCGACTATATTATACATTATTTATATCAACTTCAGCTTCAAATTTTAATTGCTAGTTTTGATTTATGTATACATTTCTAACAGTTTATTAATTGATAGATGATTTGAATCAACAATTAATTATATATAGGTGTTTTATTCATTTAACATTTCAATGGCCAAAACGGAAATATTTGTCATTAAGCATGATTAATGTATTGTATAATAAATTACAACTACATAATATATGTGAGTAGTTGAACTGCAGGTGTCTGTTGAACCCTGAGTTCTTGAAAATACTTAAATTGTATATGGATGAGCCTCTGGCACGGTCTTGCAACCTGTAAGCTCATAAATATTCCATATGATTTAGAAATTGAAAAGTATTATTATGTATGTGACTTACAAGCACATAAAAAGTATCCGTTGTGGTAATAATTAATAAGAACATCGTTGAAAATTATGAAAAAACATCTATATATATATATTTAAATAGTATCATCTGTTCTATTATTTTTTAATTTAAATTTTTTAACCATAAATTGCTACATTTTTACTATTCAATGTAACAAATGTTGCATAAGTAATGGATAACTGGTGGATAATGTATATGAATATTATTTAATATTTATGCAATTGAAAATAACCATTTACTATTTTTCACAAGAATAGTTGTTATGAAGTCTAGATTTTAAATGTTTTATAGAAGTTGAGTCTTTAATAAATTGATTATAATTAACTGCTGTTTCTATAAAAAGTTTTATCATACCTACTTATTTTGTTTTGATGATTAATTCCATAATAATGTAGTATATATTGGTTTACATAATGAAAATATATTTTATACCTATATATATAATTAATAAGCTGAAAAATCAATTTTACTACCTATATAAATAAAAATATGGCATTTAATATTTTAAATTTTTAAATATCCTTTGTGAGAATATACATTTTCAATTAATAATAAATTAACAAATTTATTTTTAGATTTAATAGTTGAAGTTATTATACATGAAAAGTCCGTAGTCAGTTGAAATTTGAACACTAATTTGGCATCTTTATATTTAAAGTTTATTGAGTGTTATATGTGTTGCGTGCGTACTTCTAGCAATTGAGTTGAATGTAAGTTTTGAATGATAGTTAAACAATTATAACAGTGAACAATGTGATTTATTAAGTGAGAAATAAAGTACTTGTTAATGTATAAAATAGTGGCCGAGTGGCGTGATGGTGTTCAGGTCTTAACAGCTAAGGTACATCTCCTGTTGCTGCTCTCTAGGCTCCCTTATAAATGACGTCGGTTTCTTGTTATAGAAGGCTGTGGCCTAACAGATGTCCTTTATTTTCTTCTTTTAAAAATGGACACTTCACTTTCATAATCCAAGGACTGCAAAATCTTCTCTTTTATTCTATTGACTTTCACTCCTTTCTTGAGGAATTAGCATGTGCTCCAAGCTTTAAGTTCATTGAATGTAGTCATCATTTATACTTGAAATTTATTTTTTGTCATTCCAAGCCTTGGATTTGAAATGATTCTTTAAGTCAATTTTAATTGAACATGGTTTGTTTATTTGATTTAATCCAAGTATCACGAGTGTATGTAAAAGCGTGAGACACGAAAGTGCTGTGGACTCAATGACTTTGGTACATCTCAAAGTGCTGTGTTACAAACTTTATTATATGTCATGTCTTCGTTTTTCTTCTTTTAGGTCTGAAGTCCATAATTTGATCACGGCCTTTTTTTTGTCCTTTGAAAGTTATTGTTATCCTTAGTGTTAGTATTATTGATCATTTTAATGTTTGTACTGTTGCGTGCGTACTTTCAACAAATATTTAATAATTTGAATGATAAAATAATACAAATATATCTTTTTATTTAGTTTTAACAAGTATAAGTTTTGAAGAGTAAGATAGTGGTTAAGTGGTTGAAGGTGCTTAGGTCTTAACGGCTATGGTACATTTGATATTACTGTTCTTTGGGCTCCTTTATAAATGGAATCTGTTTCTTGTTATAACAGCCCACAGCCTTGCATTTTAAAGCTATCCTTGGAGTTGCTCTGATATTCGTTACTATAGAATAACAACCTCCAGGATGCATTTTATTCTTAATTGTCGACACGTGCCAGTGCAATCTCATGTTGCATATGAGTGACATCGATAATGCAGTTGCACCCAAATTATTGACATGTACATTGAGTACTCGTATATTGTTATAGAATGCTCCGATATTTCGTACCTAGCCCACGATAATTCATTATTTACTCCTTCAAACATTATAGGTCTTTTTAATTTATTTTTGCAACATATTTGTTTATGTTTGATTAAACCTGATTCACCCCAAAGTTTACTTCTACACGGTTTATTCCCGAGAAAGATAATGTTGCGTGCCAATATCAGATCCAAGGTGTTATTTAAATGAAATTTATAACTCTTAAGAACAATAATGTGTTTATTACGTATAAATGAAGTACATGTAACTGATACAAAAAGTGGCTGAGTGTTGTGAAGGTGCTCAGGTCTTCGTGGCTCTGATACATCTGCCTCTGTTGGTCTCTGGACTCCCTTATATACAAAGAAGTCTCTTGTTGTTGTAGTCAACAACCTTCTAATTCATATTAATTTTAAATTAACATTGCCTATGATATTTATTAATCCCCTTTTTTGTCTTTGATTCTAGAAAATTAAAATATACTTGGTTAAAACGAGATTTATTTATAAATTTTTTTCTTTGTACTTTTCCTGACTCTAATTTTTTCACATCTGATGGAAAATGCCGAGCTGATAGTCGAAATGGTTGATCTTTAGTATAGGGTTGTTACGTACGCACTTCCAGCAACCAAGTTTAGGTGTTTTAAATAAATAGATACAACAGTTCAAACTTTATCAATATGTATATTTTTACTAAAACTGAAGTACATGTATAATTTGTACTATAGCAGCTGAGTGATTGAAGGTGCTTGAGTCTTAATGGCTATGGTAAATCTGATATTGCTGATCTCTGGGCTCCTTTATATATGAAAAAGCTTCTTGTTATTGTAGTCCATGGCTTTGTATTTCGTGTACATCCTTGGAGTTGTTTTGATACTTGTTTTTGGTAAAAATAATCTCCAGGATGCAATTTGATCCTAATTGCCAACATGTGCCAATGCAATGTTTTGTTGCATACGGGTGGCCTCAATAATGCATTTCACTCGACCTCGGCACGCGCAATGCACTATTATGATGTTTGCGTTGAGTGTCTGTGTATTATGAGTTTTATTTTGGTCGAGAATCAATAATGAATGTAGCTCTTCTTCGTTTTTTTTGTTGTTCTTCTTTTTGGTGCATGCTGTGCATTATATAATGCGTAATTCTACTAAAAATTCCAGCTACTGTAGTCCGCTAAACGAAAAATGGCGGGTGACCGCAACGATCCAAGCGGATTATTTGTTGTAGTGGTTATTAAACAATTTGCCGCGCTTTTCAAATACGTACGCCTTATAAGCATGCCTATAAGCAATAAGTATTCGTCTTTTTTCCCCGCTTTTTTTATGCATAAAACGTAAAATCGATTTTTTTGATAAAGGATGTATTATTTATAATACATACTAATTTTTAAAATAAAAATGATATTACATTTTTAAATATTTAATTATTATTATTTATTATAGTATTCGACAAATGTTTATAATAATAAAAGTAAAAATACAAATTATAATTGAGGCGTTTTGAGGCAAAGTCAGCAATCTCCAAGCGCAGTGATTTTCGGTAAATTAGGAAAAACTGTTTTTGCCGTTATTTCTTATATTTTTTTTTCATTGATTGATAAATGAGTTTGATGATATTCGCCGTTATCATTTTATTTGTTAAATGTCGATAATATTAAATAATAAAGGGAAAAAATGGACATTGTCAAATTTGCTGCGGAACCACGGAGATTGACGCTTTTGCCACAGAAACGCACTGAGATTCCTTAATTTGCCACAGAAACGGGGAAAATGTATTATGTGTGATAGAAAAGTCATGTTGATATTATAAAAAGTAGAATATTAAAAATAGTAACAAAATAAATCTGTTGCTAGAAAACAAAAACAACTGTTAAACTATAAAATAATTCAGTACTCTCTTCTTAAATACAAAACAAAAAATATATCAACACTTTTAAAATGATCATACAACTTTTGATTTTTATAAAAATATAATAATATTAAAAATAGTAACAAAATAAACGTGTTAATAGAAAACAAAAACTAACGTTAAACTATAAACTCGTTACACTCTTCTACATATTCGCAGTTAGAGTTACATTCATTGCTTTCATCATGGGTTGATACCTGACGATCGAAAAAATAGATATAATATTGCAAATTCTCTGCAGATTTTTCCCAATCGAGACCAAAGTGCTTTGCTAGTAGTTTCTTCACATCCGTAGCTTTTTCAAAATATAACTTTTTTTTATTAATATTTTGTATTAAAATTCATTTTAACAATTATGGTTAAATTATTACTAAAATTTACAGTATCAATTTTATACTATAAATATATAATTATTTTTTATTTTAAAAATGTATAAAATATAAATACAAAAGAATTATACAAACACACAAATTGGTAGTCCTATTCAGCATTTTCTTCATCGTCACTGTCATCCCAATCGCTGTCATCTGGTAACAATGTTAAAATGATTGGTATTAGAATACAGCATCTCTCATGATTTCTTTTTCATTATCCTTGTCTTGAAGTTCTTCTGCATGTCTCGCACACTTTTCCCAATCATGTTGGGTGACCGAATCTAATGCTTCGTGAGTTAATCGTTCGATATCGCACATTTTAAAAGTTTTATTGTTTTTTGCAACTTGGCCTTTCACTTGCGCCCATATCAGCTCAATTGGATTGTATTGGCAATGATATGGAGGAAGTCGAATTACTTCATGGTCCATTTCTAATGCCAATTGATCCAATTCATACTTTTTTTCATTTGGTATTAAAGCTTTAACTCTCATTTTAAGTTCTGCTAGCGTCTCTAATGGTGAAAATTTGATATTTTTTTTAGTCAACCACTCCTGTACATCTGCTTTTTTTGTATTGCTCTTTGGATAGTTATCTATAAGGGTTGAATGATATGATGCATTGTCCATTATGATGACGGACGGTTCTTCAAGATTGTTCAACATTTGGGTGAACCAAGATTTAAACAATTCCGAATTCATTTGGCTGTGATAATCCGTAGAATTGCCAGTATTGCTCCGGAAAACCAATTTTGAATTTGGAATGAACCCGTATTTAGCACACCCTGCATGAACAACGATAAGACGCCCACCTTTTCCAGTCGGGATTTTTGGACCCACCATGTTTGTATTATGTTGAGAAGCGACACTCCGCGAATGATTTTGATTCACCCATGTTTCGTCAAGATATACAATCGGACAAAAATCTTTATTTTTGCGCATTGTACAAATTTCTCTTAAAAATTTACAATTTTTCATTTTTTCTCCTAATATCTCATATTTCGCGTTATATTCTTTTAGTGAGAAATAAGTAATGAGCTTATACTCTGCTCCTATTATTCTAACTGGACCTAAGTTCTCATAATGCAAACCCTTGTCTTGTTCATACGGTGTATATGTATAATAGTCTGACGAGTTTATATCATTAGCCTTGCTTATTCCAACCATCAACACCAATCTAAAAGTAAAAAAAATTACTTTTCTAAAAGTAAAATATTATTCCTATGGTAATTTCTCTATTAATGTCTCATAAGTAATTTTTTCTAGAAGTTTATCGAATAAACATTTTGTTAATATTACGTCCGCACAAGAATCATGAGCATGAGTTATTTTATGATCTATATCACAAGCCAACTCATGACTTTCGAATAAGTTTAATAATCTACCATTTTTTTTATAGCTACCTAATTCAATTTCTTCAATAGTAATTTTGTTAATTTGTAATTGCAAGAAAAATTGCCTATTATTACTACTATCATAAGCTCTTATATTTAAAATTGGATAATGTAAATCTAAACGGTTTAAAAAAAACATATCCATATCACCATTCCATAAAACAAATGCTGATTTTTGTTCACCCCGATTAATGTAATTTAATATTGTTTTTCTAATTTAAAATTTTTTATAGTAGAACAACTACTTTCGTTAATCTGTGATAAACATATATTTGCTTTGGTGGACGGCCAACCAAAAAATTTCTTAACATTCTTAACCTGGCGGTTAAAAAAAAATAATAATTATTCCCGTTGTTCGAAAAGCAGTGACCCATCTCATAATTGTTTTCCGATCGGGAACCGCACTGTGACGGCCAATGTTAAAATTATTCCGGAATGCACGCTGTACTTTCACTACCGATTCGTTGTTTTTGACAAATGAGTCGTACTCGAACACACGGTGAACGACACTCCACTGCTCCATTGTGGAAACTAAATGGCATTATCTAACGGATCGAATGAAACCTTTCCGACTTACTCACATTCAGCCTACGTCGAGAAAAACCCATCTATTTTTAGCCCTATTATTATTAATATAATGGATAATATAGCTAAATCTATTGTTGCATATAATAAATTCGAATGAATGAATTTATGTTTTTTTAACCTTTTTTGAATTGCTTCTCTAGTTTTTTTAACACATTTATCATCACACACACCAAATAACGTATACATAACATTGCCTATGATATTTATTAATCCCCTTTTTTGTCTTTGATTCTAGAAAATTAAAATATACTTGGTTAAAACGAGATTTATTTGAACGCTTATCATATTTACTTAATATAGAATATTTAAAACAGTAATTATCCTTATTTTTAACATTAACAATCGCTTTTTTTTCTTTTATAAATAACGGTAAATCAATATATGAACTCCCTTTTAGAGGGTTTACTAAATTAATTCTTAACTGTAACCCATCTATTGATACAAGAGACCAACCTGAACCTTTTGCAATAAATTCTGATTCCTCAGTTAATATTTTATTGAACATACTATTTAGTAAACTAATAAAATCAGATGAATTGCATGCTAAAATATTTGATGATTTAAAAGCTATATCTTGAATATCATGGGTTACCGGACGTTCATAAACAGCATCAACATGTAAATTAAATTTGATTGCTGTTTTTTGTGATGACTTTTTTAACTTTAAAATAAGCTTATCTATAATATAACTAAAAAAAAATTTATAATCCACATATTTTTGACTGTTCTTTATAATGAACGTTTTTGAACATTTTTTAAACCTTTCGATTTCGATCAGTCCGCTTTCACTCGTATTCATACGTTAGTATTTTGTGATTATTGATCTTTTCATACTTAAACTAAAAAAAATAAATAAAAACACTTTTTTCTTTTTAAATGTATATAAATATATAGTTTATTATATAAATTATTAAAAAACATTATTTTTAAAAGAATAATTCAAATAATAATATAATCATTTTTTTTAACATTAATATATACAATCAAAATGTAGATCAAGATTAAATAATTCTGATAATGGTTTTAGATTATTACGTAATAAAATACAGGTATCACTGTAATGAGAATAACGTTCCCTCAGACTATGAATACTGTAAAGATCAAAAAGAATTTGATGACATGGGGGTTAAATCTGGGGAAAAGACTACAAGTGTTGGCTGTCAAGTAGAAGAAATATGAAACATATCGGGCGAAATGGAAGCATTTCGGTAGTAAACTAGCGAAAATGGTTGATTCTCACGGGCTATTAATAAGTCTTTAAATTTCGTGTACCCATTGTCCTTGAATAGAGTCTAAATAATTATTTTATTTTATTTGATTTTGTTTTAATTTATATTTTATATTATATTATTACTTTTATATTTTACATCGTAATTTTCAGACAAAAATAATAAATATAATAATAATAAAATAATAATAAATAATATGTAATAAAATAAAAAAATACTATTCTAAAGAATATTAAACTTTCTCACAACTAATTTTCAGTAATCCACACTTTACAAAATAACTTCATTACTCTGGTGGTACATTTTTTTTTTAAAACTATGTTAGTAACACATGCATATTATTTTTCTCTTATTTTATTCTACATTATACGTATATTGATTGTAAATACACGTGTTGCGTCCTTTATGTCAACGTCGATTCATATATCAACGTAGAAATAGAAATACTAATGTTTGCAAGTTAAAAGATTAAGTCTTTATTTAATACAGTTAACTCGTACAAGAATACAATTTTATAAGCACAAGATTGAGTGAGTGGTGTTACGACCGCCTTCTGAGCGTCTCGAATAATAAATCTCAATATAATAATCCCAAAAAAATTCTCAATATAATAATCCCAAAATAAATCTCAATATAATTCACAAAATAATTTCATAATCTCAATATAATCTTCATATAATATAATCTCAAAAAACTCTCAATATAAACACAAAATACTCTTTTTCTTCAATAAATTCTCAATACAATAATTTCAAAAATTCTCAATATAACTCTTTTATTTAACTCCCAAAATAATATAAAATAATAAAAAAATAATAAAATAATAAAACAAAAAATGGAAAAAAGACCTTCCTAATTACGATGGACAAAATGACCAAAGGAGACGGTTATATAATTTATGCTTACAAAATTTCTGTATTCATTCCGTAGCTTGATTTTCTCGCCGTTGTTTTGAACTGCAACAATGTGTTCGATTTCCCCAGAGTTGTTGAAAAGACGTCTCGATCCAACGATGGTTCACGTGAGTGAAGTTGCCTCTGTTGATAGAAGTTGACGGTACCAAAATATGTTAAGAAATATTTTAAGTTGTCTTCTTCTTGGAAATCAATCCTACCGACTGCGCCAATTTTTCTGTTGCGTCCCTTATGTCAACGTCGATTCATATATCAATGTAGAACTATAAATACTAATGTTTGCAAGTTAAAAGATTAAGTCTTTGTTTAATACAATTAACTCGTACAAGAATACAATTTTATAAGCACAAGATGGAGTGAGTGGTGTTACGACCTGCCTCTGAGCGTCTCGAATATCTGCTCAGCTCTTGTCTCGGTCTCCCTTATAAATGGTTAACTGACAAAAGTGGTGACTGGGGAGGTGGCGACTTCCAATGACCCAAAGGAGCTCTCTAAATTATATTTATTATTCAGTTAGGTATCTTTCCTGCGATTTCATCTGTTCCAAGAAATCCAAGACGTGTGATCAAGTCTTAATTGTTATATTAAATAGTACAATGTTAACACTATCGTTTACTTATCTATTCTGAGAAGTCCAGGGCGTGTGATCAAGTCTTAATTGTTTTATTAAATAACACGATATGCAGGTGTTCACCCTAACCGTTCGGTACTATACTGTTAGAATATATTATCCCATCAGGGAAGTGGCCAGATCGGATGCAGACGTTGAAAACTTGCAGGAAGAGGTCGGGAAACCTTGTTGGGCCAGTCTAATTATCTCGTTCGGGATCCCGTCGGGACCCGGCGCTTTCCCCGGCGGAAGTCTGTCTACTGCGGCCTTGAGTTCGACGGTGGTGAACGGTGGGATAACAGGATCCGGCAGGGATATGATCTCGTTTGAGGCTGCTGTGTCGTAGGGGATCGTCGACCAGTCCACCGGCGGGAGAGCTGGGAAAAGCCCACGCGCTATTGCCAGTGCGGTGTGATCGTCGAGTTTCTGAGAGCGTCGGTTCAGCTTTTTGGTCACCAGCCTGTATGGCACGCCCCACGGGTCGTTTTCGACGTCCCGACACAACTGGCTCCAGCTGGCTTCCTGTGCCTTTCTGAAGGCTAGCCTCAACTTCTTTCTGACTTCGTTATAGGTAGTGAATGCGGCTGCGCGCCCATCTCTTTCCGCCCTACGGCCGGCTCGCTGGTATTGCCTCCGGGCTGCGATTGACGCTCTCCTAAGGTCGGCTATGTCGCTGCTCCACCAATGAACGGATTTCCTACCCTTGAACGAGGTCCTGCGGGGCATCGCAGCGTCGCAGGAGTCAGCGAGGAACTGGTGGAGGTGATCTGCGAGTTCGTCTGCGGATGCGTGTGGGGATTGAAGAGTTGAGGCTCTGTCGACGTTACTCCAGTGTTCTGCTAGGGATGCGGGTGAAATCTTTGATGGCTACGTTCTGTGTTTTAATCATCTCCTTGAGTTCCGACATCGCTCCAAGAAGCTCGGGTTCTTGGCGTCTAGTTTCGCACGGTATGGATACGTCATTGCTCTGCTTCTTGATTTCAGTGACAATATCTGTCTGCGATGAGGCATAATTCATCTGCGTATTTATATTGCTTATCGCATTTGTATTTCGTCCCGTAGTTTTAACTTTAACATACTGCTTCATCACTATTCCTGTGTTTTTCAGGGTGTCCTTCAATTCTTTGTGAACGTTGCGCGTTCTTTCGGCAAACTCTGACATCGAGTTGATGTACCCCTGAATCATAACTAGGAGTTCTTCCTCTTTAAGACTTCCTATATTTATCGTTCTAGGAGTCTTGTTTGAGCGTCCGCGGTCTTGCGGAGTCTCCTTATCCGCCAATCTGCTAGCTGTTGCCAGCGCCACTGAGTCAAATTCGTTGCCCATATCTCCTGTTGTTTCCGTTTTCCTTATCGTCTCAGCAGTAGTAATGCCGGGTGGAGGAGCCATGCTGGACACTCCCTCACTCGGGGTTTGGCTTGCCGATAACGACTCCTGGGGCGAGCCACCCCCAGTCGCCGTCTCCCGGAGTCCGACCCCTCCCTGTAAGAGGGCTCCGGGACGAGATTCATCATTGTAGGTTGTAATGTTCATAATGATTGCAGTGACTTGGCCGCCCACTGACGAAGTCAGTCTCACTTCGTCTGTTTGTTTTCGTTCGTACTCCTGATCTGCCGAAACATCGGCGGTCGATCGTTCCCCCGGTGGTGAGCTTGTCCGCGACCGCTTATTCGTCCATCCCGAAGGTGTGGCTTATCTCGCGGCTGTCCTACATATCTGTAGGACGTTACCCTATCCGCAACCTGGGGACGCGCCCGGTGGCATGCTCATGCCTCCCGAAGGCGGGTATTTTTTTTTTTGTTTTTTTTTTTTTCTTCATCACACTTAATATCACATACATTGGGTTTAGGAATTAATGGATTAAGTGGCACAGATCTAACTATAGGATCAAGCTTGACGGGTCGGGCAGCTAGAGATGCTTGAGATGCTTTATCATTTGAGATTACCACGTTTTTGACGCTTCGACTTAATAGACCTTGCTCGTACTTAGAAATTTCAACATCATAATTCGTTTTCTTTGGTAATCTCATTTCAACAAATCTACGTCCTTCTAAAACTATAAAACTTTGGAGAACATCAACACGAGTCGACAATGACAAATTTTGGAAATTTAAAACTCTAGTCTCGGGAACACATGTGTTTTTACATATCTTAGATAAACCTTGCTCACTTCCTACACCTTATGTGTATATAAAATGTCATATTATAATCCATTAACCAATCAGAATCGAGTATTAGTTTCCCCCTCCACATTCATTTTTAAATCTAGGTATAAATATAGCAGTAGGCTCGCGCGCGCGACAGTCTCTGTCCAGAGGTAGAGCAGAGAAGAGACTACTGAACGCTGACGTCGACTAAAAAAAAATAATATACTCTACTCTATAATCGGGTCGTTTTCTGGATTTACAAATTTCCGAGCCGGCGCGTTTGCAACGAAAACGCAAAATCAAGTGTACGTGTCAACATTAATTTATTGATATAAGAGGTTAATTAATTGCAACATGTCTGTTAATAAAAATGTTAACGATGAAAAAATATCAAAATCAACTTTGCGGAAACGCAAACAGAGAGTGTTGGACAAAAACGTACCGGAACGTAAACAGCGAAAATTAGATACAATGTATATGTTTGGATGCGTTGATGTGTCTATTCTTATTGATAATAATGGAGACGTATGGTTTAAAGGAGTCGATCTAGCAAGAGCTTTGGAAATGGAAGATCCAAATACATCAGTATATAGATTTATTGATAAAAAATATACTTTATCATACGAACAGGTATCGTTGAATGATCGATACCGTGACATCCCAGGACTTCAGCCTCAGACGACGTTCGTAAACGAAATGGGCATGAACATGTTTATACTCCGGTCCCGGATGCCCAAAGCCGAAAAGTTTGCAGAGTGGGTGTGTGGCGAGGTGTTGCCGTCGATTCGTAAAACCAACAGATACGAGACGACGCCCGACCAGAACCCTATGAAAGAATTGAACGATTTTCTAAAAGCGCGCGTCGACGAATTGAAATCGGAAAATAAAGAACTAAAAAATTCAATAACGACAAAGGATAAAATGTTGGAGACAAACGTGAAATTAATCGAAAAAAACAATAAAGATATTTCCACGCTGACCGCAAACATATTCAATATGAAACCGACGTGCGTTTTGGAAAACACGAATAAAGTCAAAGACGAGTACTGTCTGATTTATAAAAAATCCTCAAAACCGCTGGACGATATTGACGACGCGGAGATATTACTGTATCCGTACTACGCGTGTCGGATTCAAGACGATTCCGTTAATTGTAGACTTGTGGAATTGAAATTGACGTATCCGGATCTGGTAGAGCTTCGGAAATATAAAACGCCAAACTCGGTCAACTTTTTCAATTACGTTATCGATCAATCGCCGACTTTGTTGGAACGCGGAAAGCGCAAGTATATCCAATCGTTTCGCATAAAAGACCCGGATACAAACGAATCGTCAATGTTGAAAATTATCGATAATATCTATAGAGTTAACTATGGAAATTATAAATGATAAATATTGTAGTAATCGCTTTGTATATTTTTTTTTAAACAAGATTTCGATATATCCATGCGTTGCGTCACCTAGTGTGCAAAGTCTTCAAAAACTATATCCACGATTAATTTTCAATATAGTTGTATATACGTCTATTCTAATCTACCTCTATTTTTATACTAAACCCAACTTCCAATCAGAATCGAGTATTAGTTTCCCCCTCCACATTCATTTTTAAATCTAGGTATAAATATAGCAGTAGGCTCGCGCGCGCGACAGTCTCTGTCCAGAGGTAGAGTAGAGAAGAGACTACTGAACGCTGACGTCGACTAAAAGAAAAGAATATATATACTCTATAATCGGACCGTTTTTCGAATTTGTCGATCGACGGCCGGACGCGTTGCAACGAAAATGTAAAAATTTTATAAAACCTGTCAAAACGTGATTTATTGATATATACGCCTATGCCGCTGGTGAATTGCAGTCGAAACACTAGATTAGGTGGGGCATTTTAGTATATCTGGTGCGTTTTAATCGTTGTTTTTTTTTGTGTATCGCGCATAATGTTTTCTTTATTTGAACGTGCATCGGTATTATTAAGACATATTGAATGAATTACGAGATGAATATGCAATACCGACTTTAGATCACTTACAACCGTGTTGTGAAAAGGCGATACAATATGAAACGCAATATTCAAATTTGTCTAGTATAGAAAAAGTAAAATTTATGATTATAGCCGCGAGCCGTGGACATTTGCAGTGTATGCGTATTTTCAATCAACACGAATACGATTGGGACGAATGTGCATTATGGCCGAACAAGCGTGGATATTTAAAACGCAAAAATGCGTGTTTAGTAGCTGCGGAAAACGGAAATCTGGATTGTTTGCGGTACGCCAGAGAAAACGGTTGCCCGTGGGACAAAAATGCGTGTTTAGTAGCTGCGGAAAACGGACATTTGGACTGTTTGCGGTACGCCAGAGAAAACGGCTGCCCGTGGGACAAAGAGACGTGCGAAGCGTCCGCCGAAAACGGACATTTGGACTGTTTGCGCTATGCACACAATAATGGATGTATATGGAACGAATCAATTATTAAAATTGCGGTAAAGAATGGTCATGTGGAATGTTTAAAATACGCCCACGAAGCCGGTCTCCTTACTGACAACGTGATAGATATAGCGATCCGATACGGCAAATTGGAATGTCTGCGCTATACACACGATATTGGTATCATGTCGTCGTGGTCATTAAATGCTAAAATGTATAAACCGAATGCCACGAGTGTAGTACTCTCGTACTACACTTGTACACTTAATTATTTAATGACGAAGTCCGACGTCTAGCTGCTGGGCTTGATTGTAGAAATAGTATAAAATAAAAGGTTTGCAAGAACAAAACTGATAATATAATTATTAAATTATATGTATATTTAAACAATAAGTTAACAAAAATAAAGTTTGAAGACAGAGGTTACTCTGCCTGAGAACTACGTGCAGTTAAGCTAAAGGTAAAAATAATTCTAACTAAATGACTACTTAGTTACTATATTTATATAAAAG